TATAAGAAAGAAGAACTATTGTTTTTCAGTAGTTTCTAAGTAGAGGCTTTTAAAAAAATGCAGAAGTAAACAAGCGAAGAAATTTAAAAGGATTTTACTAACTGAATATTGCACCTGATAATGCAAAGTTGGAGCCCTACTGTCTCCTCCATCCTATTAGTTTGATTTAAAGGCTTACTCTTCTAGCCAACAATTCTGAACCTTTAACCTTGCATTTGTAGGAGTCTCTTTTAGTCTGGCTCAAACAGAAGTAATAGCCAATTGCAAAACTGGAAGGAGCAATACTGAAGGAAACTACCGTGGTGGAAAAAAAAGTTTGACTAAGTCTCCCCAGCTCTGCAGCACTTTAACGGGACTCAAATGATGCAGTGCAGAAACAACCAAGAGAATACGTGATCATAACTGAAATGTGTAGCGAGTGGATTACAAAGTCTGCAGAATTGCTTTTTAGAGTGTAATTACATTTTAAAACTAGAAATAAAACCCCTATAAAAACAGTGAAAATATACTCCCTCCAAGGAGACCTTTACAGCATCACCACTTTGGAGCATCACTGGTTATGGTAAAATGGCAAGCTCTCTCTTGTGAGTAGAGGGAGACCCTACTCACAGGAGAGACCCTATTCACTAACAAAAAGTATACTCTACAGTTACAAATTTACCAGTGTGCAATGGCATATTCCAAAAAAGAGCATAATATGCCAGATAATTCCACAATACCTCTCATGGCTACTGGAAAGAGGTTTGAAACCTTTATCCACATTCTCTCTCTCCGCGTCCGTCTCGCTGCTCCCAAAGAGACAGAGATGGTGGCTGCATACCAATGTGAGAATCAGCCTGGGTTTACCTCTGCACCCATCACGGCCACCAGTCAACAGGCCAGTCATAATTCACCTCTCTCCATAAAGGCTTTGAGCTCATCACATCATAGACACCCTATTGACCAAAGAACGCAGGACTGGTGTAATGTGATCATATAGCAGCATCATCCTGCACAGAGCACAGAGCAAGGAACTGTGGTCACATTTCACAATGATACAAGAAAAGGCCCTTAAAACTTGAGAAAAGGAGGTACGATCAGGCAGGACGAAGAGAGATTTGACCATGAGTGAAAACAATTGGGAACAGAAGACAAAGATTAGTGTAGCTAAAATTGCTACAAAGTGAAAGCCATCTTAGTTTTCTGGTGATTATAGTAATTTTAGGCTTCTGCAAAGGTTAACAGTAGTTCTACACCATGACAAATATTTCCACCATGGTCCCGAGATGCTCCAACAAGTCACAAAAATAATGATTTCAATCTAGTAAATGTACAAAAAAATTCACCCGGGCAACTGTCATCATTCACCAGCAGCAAGAACACTAACAACCAGAACCATGTTAATGTTTAGGACATCTGGGTTACCATCCACATAGTTTATGATGATGAACCATATAATGACAAAGATCTGCCTGAAAAAAATATATTTTGTCAAAAGAAGCATAAAGGAAAAGTTTCTCCCTTTTGGTCATGGGACTATAACATTGCCCTTCCAAATGTGCTAAGTGCCTTCTACTCTTTCAAAGGGCTTTTGGCAACTTACCCTACCCTACACCTACATGCCTTAACCTTACCCACCCTAATCCTCATCCTATCTAACCTAACTCCACCTATCATAACCTTAACCCTAATCTAACCTGACCTAATCCTAACATAACCTACCTTGCACTGACCCTAACCTACGCTAATCTTACTCTACCCTATCTCCATCCTCCTCTTCTTGCCTACACTACTGCCTATTCTCCACCCAACCCTCTACTCTTCACCTTCTACTCTACTTTTACCTACCCTCTACTCTACAGTCCCCTATGCTATATGCTATTCTATCCCACCCTCTACTTTATTCTACTCTCTGTCCTAGCCTACCCTGTACCCTACCCATTACGACTACCCAACCATGCCACATCCATTAACAGATCTATCACCACAAGCCATAAATATACCAATACCCATTACCATGCCATAGTAAGTTTCTAAGTCAGATGGAGAATGGAGCAGACAGTCACTTAACATGCTTCAAGAGCAAGTTCAATACAAACACTATTTGAACTCCTTACATGGTATCACTCATGCAAGCTACTATCTGTTAAGCACACCTGTTTTGGCTCTAGTTTCAGTCCCCAAACTGGTTCTTTTTTTCAGATTCTGAAAAGCTTAGATGTATTTTTTGTGCTCTCCTCCTTGTTAGGGTTTCTGGTCACTGTTGTTAGGAGTCTCGCACACTCTGTGTGCCACTGTGACAAATTCTCTACTAAGCAGGGAAAGAAAATGGCATCCATACTCCAAATATATTATTTAGACTGAAATGTCTAATGATAGTATATTAATCTTTTAAAACTCCATAAAATACATTATAGGATCACTGTAGAGTCTTGCATCTCCTCTTTGTAGTGCCTATTTTATTTATGTCCTATTTATCTACTTCTTTACTGACATTCTATTATGTAATATTAACTACTACTTGAATTAGCTACATGCAGATAGATTTGTTCTTGAATTTTTGAATTTTAGATTTCTATAGTAGTCGCTAAGTGCCAAAAAGAAGTAACCCACTTCTTTGTCAAGAAAAACAATGACCCCAACAACAACAGCAACAAAACAGAATAGGAGAATAGGAGGGTACATCCATTGTAACATGGAAAGACAAGGGTGCAAGATGGAACAGGAAGGTTCCCTTAATACCATTTGTGTTGTCCCCTTGCTAAAATATACAAAACATATTGTATCTACCAGATGATCCCTAGAGATCCCTTTCAACCTCAACCATTCTGTGATTCTCTGTGATTCTGTGAACCAGAATATTCTCTAGTGACTTATTGGTTGTTTAACATTTTGATATTTACTCAGTTAAACCCTACCTAATCTAATTCTATCCTAAGCCCTATCCTACCTACCTTAACCCTACCTCCCCTAAACCTACTTACCTTAAGTCTGCTCTATGGCTTTAGTAGAACATTTTCTTAGACAGTCACTGAAACTAGTGGGAATATTAGCAAAGATCTTACCTAATAGAACATAATTATCATAATATTCAGATTTTTTTTTACCAAGTTGACCTTTTAAACTAAAACCATTTTGAGGACATACTGGACCACAAATTATTCCTTGAAGTGCACAGCATAGACAAATACACAAAAAGCACTTTACTAATAATCAAAGTGTGATTAGCTGTATCAGAAAAGTGTTATTATGGTCACAACTAACCATCGTGAAGCTACAGGCTAGATCAATATCATGAAGAAAATATTCGTGGCTGAAACAAGAGGGTTAAAACAATGGCAGGGTACTTTTGCCTGCACATATATGCTAAAAACTTGTACAGAGCTATATTAGCCAGGGATCACTTCCCCTCATGTCATGCATTTCCCTCATATATTGCAATTCTAAATGTGTTCCTCATTGTTATTCTGACATAAAGCATTTTTAAGTGCCCTGATGTCCTTTTTGGCAAGAATTTTCAAATAGTTAGGGACTACCTCAGCTGTGGTGTTCAATTATATTGTATCATCACATGTAAATGTCTCATATAGATCTAATTTGACCTTTCAAGCATTCTGAATTTAGAGAGATTTTCTTCACTGAGCATTACCAGAGGAACAGTAGTAATGCACTCCCTGCTAGGGAAGGCCTGTTGAAAAACAGCTGGGGGTTATAGTGGACCTCAGGCTGAACTGAGCCAATAATGCTGTGCAGTTGCAAAAAAAAGAAAGACAACCACAGTGCCAGAATGTTTAAATGGATGTACAGCCCGTGAGACATGTGAAGTAAAACTGCCACTTAGCTGAAGTAACGTGTCTAGCTCTGAGCTTTATGAATAATGGAAACCATCTGTAAAGTCCAGAGGAAAATACAAACAAATATATTCTAGAAGTTGTAGAAACCCTTACTCATGAGAAATAATTGAATAAATAAATGTTCATTTTAGGAAACAGAAGATGAGGACAGTATTACAACAGCCTACTCAGCAACAAAACTTGATGCAGTGGAGGGACTGACTATATACTCACTTCCAATGGTGTAAGAAACAGTGTAAGAAGTTCAGGGAATTTGTGTTCGAGAAATATTAACAGTATAGATATTATATCACCCAGGACACTCCAAAATTTACGTCATGAGAGGGCCTCAAAAAGAAGAATAACTGGGAGATATAGCCAGACCCATTCCCTCCAATACTACTTTTTCTCTCTGCTGAGAAAAAGGTGCTGCCATCCTCACAAACTTTCAGCTAACAAAATATACTCTTACAGATTGAGATATACTTCATCTGTGTAATGTTTTTCTTATTTTAAAGTCTGTTCATCTCTATGTGTTGTGTCTGTTCATCTCTATGTGTTGTTTCTGTACCAGTACCAGCACTGCTCAGAACCCTCTATATCTCTGTTCACCTGCCAGAGTGAAATAAAGCTCTACTTGCACTTCAAATAGGAAATTAGGCTCTGCCCTTTCTTGTGCAGCAGCTTGACTTTCCTGGGAGACGTAAGTTTCCTGTTTGCTCACAAATTCCAGTTCACAAATGAACTGTTGTGGCATCCTGCAAAGCAAACTCTGATCTCAAGACCTTTTAATAGCATCAGTGCTCTGATTACACATTATTTCTGGGAGGTTTGTTTTGCTTTTGTCATATTTTCCAGGATCAAACTGCATTCTGGCTCCCCATGATATGTAATGATTTTGACAGCTGATTTCTCTCCTTATATACTCCGAGGCCCCAAACTCATCAACTCCTCCTTAAGTGAATGAAGCGTCTGCAGACGCGGAGCGCTCGGCTGCTGACCCTGCTGCTATTGGAGGTGGATCCGTTCCAGGAATAGATATGATACCCTCCCACCAAGCCTCGGTACTTCATCACAGTCACGTCATCCCCTGAGCTTTTAGCCTGGCTCCGCCTTTCTTTTCCTCTGATTTTCCAGGCCAGGAAAGCCAGGCAAAGACAGCAAGAGCTGGAGCGAGGCCACTCGGCCATGGCCTGTCCTCCGCCAGCCCCCGTCACGCAGCAGATCTGCAGCGCGCACGTCTCGCAGCAGCCGGAGCCACGGGAACTGCGAGAGGCCGCCCGGTGCCCGGTGCTGGACGCAGATGGGAAAAAGATCCTCTTCAGGGCCCTGTACAGCGAGCGGAAAGCGATCGTGGTGTTCGTGCGGGTGAGGAGAGAGCAGCGCCCAGGCGGGCTGCACTTGCCTGCTTGGACCTTAGAGGCACTTGAGGGAACTATAAAACAAGTTGCATACAGAGAGCTCTGGCTCGGCTCTAGATGGAGAGGGCCTTAAACAAGCTAAGCTGGAGCAGAGAGAAATCAAAACACTGTAAAACATATCAGTTATGTTTAGGAAACTCCCCCTTCCTGGGTAAAAAGATAGAACTTTTATCTGAAGGGAAAGAGCTCTGCTATCATGTGTTTAGGAAAACAACTGATATGTTCCCTGATTTTCCTGTCTGATAAGTCAGCTGTTGCTTTCCTAGTGATAAAAAATAGCAAGGTCTAAAACTCTATGTCCTAGCTCAACCCTGGGAAAAAAAGAAAAAAAGAAAAAAAAGATTCTCATAACCTGAATTTGGCTGCTGCAATGAAATTTAAACTTTTGTGTCCTCAGTTTGTGGTTACCTGCAAAATGGTTTGTGCCTGGAGTTGTTCCCCGATGCTTCATTAATATGTAGTTATGTCTTTCTGACATGTCAAACTGGCTATGTTGCAGAATTTTTTATGTTACATCTGTAAAGAGTATGTGGAAGACCTGGCAAAAGTCCCCAAGACTTTTTTAGATGTAAGTACCGTTCTTTTAATTCCCCTAATATGTATTTGCACATGGGGCTGCTGCTGTACACAGCTCTCTTACTTCCTGCTGCAAATTTGAATGATATTTAAGCCTTCTAGGAATGAAAGAGTCACTCAGAAAAAGTTAGTGCTTTCATTGTTTGCTACAATTACCATCATGTTACTGCTTAGGAGACACATAAAGGAATCTACTGCACTGCATGTTCATTTGCAGCAGCACTGTTTCTCCCTGCACCATTAGCTTGATGCTAATGCTTTTTTTTGTTGTTCTTTTTGCTGTGTTCTGAACAGTCAGAAAAAATTTGACGGGCATTTCTCTAAATTAGTACCACTCTGGGCAGCAGCCTGTTCTCTACCACAAACTAACTACAACCCTTTCATTTGTGCTGGTACAGCAGACTCATGTTTGTGCGTGAAACAAGGTCAGCAAATTGATCTGGATTAGAAACAGTTTTTCCTACAGGTTATTGGTAAGATGCAGAGGTTCGGTAGCCTGTTTACCAGGCTGTTGCATGAGCAGGAGTGACACTGTGACAGAAAGGAGAAAGGGAGTAGGCAGGGGTGCTACCGACCGGTATTTGTTGAGTGGTTGGAGATACCTGGGAAAGGGAATGATCCTCTGCTAAATTAGGAAGGTCTTCTAGTCTGCTGGTTAAAATTTTGTTGTGTTCAGCAGCATAGCTGATGACAGAGACCTTCAGCTCCTCTTCTCAGGGCAAGATATCTCTAAACCATTAGTATTTCTCAGTATTAGTCTTTAATTTGGCTGATCAAACAAATACAGAGAGAGAATCAAAATCTTCCTTGCTTCTTAAGAGTATTTGATTTTACGATGATTTATTTTGCTAAAAAGCAAAATGATCTTATTGAGGAGGGGCAAGCATTGTACTAAAATATTCAAATAATCTTTGTATCTGCTAACTGTACTACTAGGATCTAAATAAACTTATATTTTTGGCCTGTGTTTTAGGCTCAGCCCTAATGTTGCACCTGCAAAAGATATCAGTATATATGGATGCAGGCTACATAGATATTAATGGGCAGTGATCTATGTAAATCACAGAGGTTCTTGTACATGCACCAATATTTGCCTATTGCTTTTCTAGATACAGATAGAAATTTATATTTACAAATTCACAAACAACTTGCAGTTGGTTGAAAATATGACTCTACTAACGATACAGAGAGCATAAAGTTTACATACATGTATGCAACTTTAAAACTCCCTTTAAAAAGTGTTTCTTCCTTAATAAATTAGCACAGCCACTTACCGTGGTGGCAGACAGAAGTGGTCCCAGTGTGACTTTAATTTTAAATTGTTTTAACTCAGTATACCCCAACGACTAACCTGGAATACTAGATGTTTTGCAGCCATGCAGAAACAAGAGTTCCTCTTTCATAGTTTCAGTACCTATGTTCTGTTTCAGGATGCAAATGTGAGACTTATAGTTATCGGACAGTCATCTTATCATCACATCAAGGTAAAGTAGTCATTAAACAATGCAATTAACTAAAGACTATATTTTATTGTGGTTTTGTTTTAACAATTTGCACTGAAGGATTTTGTTCTGAGGGAAAAGATGGTCACTTAACAACCATTCAAAAAAAAAAAGCTTCCATGAAGCAATCCTCATAGCAGTACGTGAATGAAACAAAAAAATAAACCTTTTGTATTAAAATCCACTAAGAATTGTTCATGAAGATCCTAACTTGATTTCACTGGAAGATGGGAACTGTGAAGTAAAAGCTTCAGGGCTAAAAGCATTTGGATTGATGATGGATTCAGAGGTTTTAAAACCAGGAATTTTTCAGAGTATTTTTCTGCTGTCAGTATATCCTAATTAAAGTTCTAGTTAATTAAATATCTTAAACCTATTTTTTTTGTGTGTATATATTTTGCAGCCGTTTTGCAGTTTAACTGGGTATACACATGAAATGTATGTAGATCCACAAAGAGAAATTTATAAAATACTTGGCATGAAAAGAGGTGAAGGTAACAACACACTAGGCACATCAGGTAAGAGTAATTTTCTCATCCTGATTTGTCTTATACAGAACAAAACAGAATAAATCAAGAATTCTCTGATAAAATAATATGGTCATAATGGAAATAGGAATGGAGCTGCCCATCGGGCCATTTCTTGAACGCTGTATTTCACTTCATCTAAACTTGTGAGAAACTTGCGTTTCTTCAGTAATCAGGAAATTGTGGGTTTTTCATAGCAACAACTTAATTTTGGTTTTGCCTTATGCAGTTTTGCACTCACAGGTAACAAGTATTTTGCTGTTTTGCTTAGTGCAGAGCCCTCATGTGAAATCAAACATGCTTTTGGGAAGCATTAGGAGTTTGTGGAGGGCGATGACCGGCCCAGCTTTCGATTTCCAAGGAGACCCAGCTCAGCAGGGAGGCACTTTGATTTTGGGCCCAGGTGAGCCGCCTGCTCTCTCTGAACACTACCCCACCACCTGCTGCCCCTCTTATCTGCGTCCTGCTCGGCCGATATCCCGGGGCTTCCCAAGGGAGAAGGGGAGTTGTGTGTTATCCCTGTGGTCTGGTATTCACAAGAGCCCTGCAGAGGAGCATCGTGTTATTCCACTTACCACAGAGAGGACACAAAGCTGAGCACAGTCCTGACCAAGAGCAGCATTGCCTTCAGCACAGAGGAGCAAGTGGTTTGAAGTCCAGAGCATTTTTGTTGGGTTTTGTTCGTTTAGTTTGTTTTTGCAGCTCCATGTTTGCTTACACTCTGCTTTTACGTTTGATCTTAGGCATTTGATGTGTTTTTTTAGTAAAGGAACAAAGCACTAAGGGAAACTATAATGTGACAAAATAATCTCCCTGAACTCTTGGGAAGCATCCTGCTGGAGCAAATTTAATTCAGTTTCTTCCCTCAATGCCCCTTCTTTCTACAACTTAAAAAAAATCTTAATAAAAAAAAATCCAGGACATTGCTTAAAATAGAGTATATTGCAAAATTGATGAAGTTAGTGCCCAGTGTCCAGTTTTACATGAAAAGGCAGGAAATCAGAATGCATCTTTGATTCATTTTTTTTTGTCTTCAAATAAATGAAATTTTTATTTGACTTTTTACATTTTTTTTCTCATTCTGTTCCAGGTAATGAAGTTCATTTTTTGCACCTTGATAAACACAGGTTGGATCATGCCCCTATTAACACAGTTTTGCACTTTGCAGGAGTTAAAACAGTAAATTTCACAAACAAATCCCAGATCATTGACATATGATACTGAGACAATATATCATTTCTTTATTTTAATCTACATGGACAATACTCCAGAAAACTCCCACCAGCATCAGTGTCTTTGTGTCTTTATATATCATTTCCACCACATCTGGAAATCAGAACCTTCTATTGAAGTTGGACACAAAAGAACTATTTTTACTGTATATAAGAAAATGTAACTGAGTGTTACTGCAATAAAAGAAATAATTTTGTTGTTTATTATTTTGATTATTATTTTCTAACCAAGCAATCTCGTTAATGTACTTTTCAAATCTCTGTTTAGGATGCACTAATCTGTGGTGGGAAACATCTAAGCCTGGCTTTGCTCAAAAATAACTTAGGGGTTTGGTAGATCACACTGGCTTTTCAATTCAAGACTTTTCAAAGGTTCTAACAAAGTATGTAACAAAGTTATATTGAAATATGCCTTGAAAAATATTGTGTATCAACCTATGCATCTTCTTGTATCTGTCACTGACAGCCATTAAAAAGCACTTTTTATAATTCTAAATAAATATTTTAAATATACTATCTGTATCTGCAATTCTTCTCTGTCTACACAAAATGGTAGGCTTAAAAAACAGGGAGAGGTATGTCTTAAACATGTTTCTAATCAGATTGTCAGTTTTAAAGTAGTCTGCAGTTGGTTAACTGCTTTTCTATGAATATATGAAAAAAAGGTAAATTTTCCCTTGCTCTCTCCGAGGGATATTTGAAAATATATATCTCTAGTTATTTCTGTACCAGAGAGTAGATGTGAGGTCAATGGTTTGTGGCTGTCTGATTTTTCATTACCTTTTTTTTCTGGCAATATTTATGTTTTGAATCTATTGCTTTCATGAGAGTACAACTTCCCCTCTGATATCCAGAAGCTGAATTTTAGCTATTTGAAAATGAGACTGTCTGAGACTTTTGGAGGAGCACATCCTCCTCTGCAGGTCATGATTTTTGGCCTTCGCTGTAAACTTCAGCTATTTATACATACCTCAACTGCAAAATCTCTCCAATTTTAAACCTTAACAATAATTGTAAAGGGTTTTCTATGAAGAGGCTTGTCCTTGCATCCTTTAAGACCACTATCAGGTCCTGGTTAAACCCCTAGGACCTCAGCATCATTAAGGCTATGTGAAATCACGCGCAGCTTCTTTGACCAAAATAAAACTCATGCTTAAAAAAATAATATTAAGTAATGCAATTCTAGCAGAAGGTACTATCCCACAGCAATTTATTAATTATATAAATGCTTTACAGATGATTCAGATGTTTGAGAGAAGGATATTATTACTATGAAAATATTGTATCTGATTCCCCACTTTGATTAAACAGCCCTCGAAGCAGCACTCAAAAAGTGATCGTGTGCAGACTTTGAACTCTCATGATGTCAGAGTTGGCCGGAGCCTTTCTCAGTATTTAGCATAATAGACTGTGAGCAGCTCAAGAGCCTTTCTGGCAGCTATGATTCACAAGATAAGGCCTGCTTTTAATGAACCACTGTCTCCACATTCATAAATAAAGAACTGTCCTCCCCTCTTTCCAGGGTTCCTGCACCTTAACAACATTTCTAAGCCAGAAACTCTCAATTCCAGCTGCCTGCATGTTACTGAAAATACAGCAAAAAGCAAGCTAGAAAACTAGTTAAATACAAGTGTTACTAGGAATGCAAAAAATGTAAAAAGCGTTCAAAGCAAGCTTCTTTGTAGTGTTTCCACTATAATTCATTAATCTGATCATCACTGTCAAGGACGCTGAATTTAGTTCCACTTTTGTTTTGCTGCTATTTCATTTTCATGTTCTTGATGCTGCAGTGCTTTGATTTTAAAGGAATTGTTTGGCTGGTTGTTTTTCTGCTTGTTGTCAGTAGAATTTAAAAGAAAAAAAAAAGAATACTTCTACTCTTAGATTTTATTTACAAAACAGTAAGTAAAATTAACTCTAGGCATGTGTACCTTTGGAAGGGATTGAAAGGCATGAGGCTTTAGCTGAATGCTCCCACAGACTGAAGTCCTCTGCCCTCACCCTTTTCAACACTGACAGCAACCACACCATGTTATCCCAGCAGAAATACTTCTCTTCGGGAAGCCAAGGAAACAGGACAGACAGAAGCAGGAGGACGCAGCAGCGGCACAGCCCCAGATAAGGGGTAACCTCTGCACTTGCTGCATGCAGAGGGACACGGCACCTGCCCACAGCTTCTGCGGCGGGACCACGATCCCCCCGTGTCCTTAATAAATCCCGAGAATGATCACCCTGCTCCTCTGCAAGAGAAAGGGCTTTCAAAACGTCAGCGCAGTTGTAGGTCCCCTGTGCCGTTTAGGAAAAGTATTTTTAAAATGGGATGCAGTGAGAAGTGGAAAACGGGACCTCATCACTGACCCGGTACTCGGCCAAGGGCTAATCGGCTTTTGACATGGCCAATTAGGAGAGGGTGCAGTTCTTAGAAGTTGTTTCTACTCTGCTCCTGGTTTATTTGAACACCTACTCAAAACACTAGTGTACTTTAAAGTGCTTGGGAAGCAGATACAAAAATAACTAGTGCAACTTTTCAAATATATCACTTTGGTTTTCAGGTCTGAGGAAATACGTGTGAGCGGGATTGTTCCCCTTTCCAACCACACCAGTCTGTCCACCAGGAAAGACGGACTCTCTCCAGGCAACCCATGCTTTCCATGTATTTTCACAGGTATCAGGGACTGATCAGGAGTGTGATTTTAAATACTCCCTTCACACGAAGGCGCAGCTGTACCCCAGGGCCTTTACCGCCGTCAAGGAGCCGCATTCCAGCCACATAACACCATCCCCAAGCGAGGCGCCACAAGGGCTGGCGCAAGGAAGGCGGCTACCGTTAACTAATGGCGGTGTGCCCAGCGGGGGGTGCTCGCCCTCGGCACCCTTGCTGTGCCCTGGCTGGCCGTGCCCGCGGCACGGGGGCCGCGGCGGCACTGTGTCCGTGTTGCAGCAGGACGGCCACGAGCGGGGCCCAGCAGCCACCCAAGGGCACAGGGGCAGGTGTGGGGGGGGGCCGAACATGGCGGTCCCCTCGCGGCCGCACTCGCGCCCCCGGCCCACCTGTTACGGCCGGGCACTATGACGTCACCGCCCCGCGCTGGTGACGCCACGCCGGCCCGGCCCAATCGGTGGCGGCGGCGCGGGAGGTGCAGGGGGCGGCGGGAGGGGGCGGCG